TCCACATGGCGATTCTTTCTTAATTTGATGAAAGTGAGCCTCAGCTTTCAGGCTGGGAAATTATGGGCAAAAAAATTTAATCTACTGTCACAGAAGTTCCTTGGTTTCCTGGAAACAGGCACAGGTCAGAGAGACAGGGAGGCTGGACACAGGTAAATGGGAAGATGACAAAGGGGGCAGGAAAAGGCTTCCTGGGGTAATGGATATGTTCATTACCTCGACTGTAACGTTGGTTTTACAATGTGTACATATGTCACAACTTACTAAAGTAAATACTTGAAATATGTGCAGGATATTTGGTGTCAATCATATACCTCAGTAAAGCATTTGAAACAGATTTGTTATTTGTTAAGTCTGATGGAGTTAAATGACTCTGGAGAAAAATTCTGACTAAAATGTTCCTGTTATATTAACAGATCCATACTATGTCTCATCAAGTTGGCCCACACTACATTTGTTCAAATAGAAATCATCACTGCTTCATGGATATTGCAACATCAATATATTGATTTATACAGTCAGAAAAAGATATGTAAATTTGTTGAACCTGCATTTTAAATATCAAGATCCTTCCTCAATCTAGATCATTCACCACATTCAGACAAAGGCATCTAACATGGGCCTCAAGGGCTAGCACACATTACGTAGCTGCCGAAAAGATGAATTTCTCCTGCTAAACCTCTTCTCCCAGGATGAGACCCAGGGGTCCCTTACTTTTAGGCCAGTTTGTGAACCTCACAGGATCTATTCCACAACATGCTCTTTTCATATCTATGAACTCACTAGAGTGTCAGGCATCACATCGCACCAAAGACATGACCTCCCTGCTGTCCTTGAACCTGGAGTAGAAGCTTCAGCTGCCACCAGGACACAGATCCTCAGAATCCACTTCTTCAGACACTTGATATGAGCTCAGCCACTGGCATGAAGAGCTGCACAGGTAGAGACAGATCCAGCCATCACTACACTTAACTGGACTAACTATGTGCCTCCACCATGCTAGGCACTGGGCTAGTGACCGTGACACCGATACTACTTGGTACTGATCGTGACCACCACGTGTTACAAGGGTCTTCTCCTTAGGGCCTTTCTCTTCGGCTTTCCTCGACTATGCACTATTTAGAAACTGCCAAGTGGCCTGACTTCATGCAGGCATTCATTATCCTGCCGTGAGCACAGGGCTGTGGGCTGCTCACTGATATCCCTGTATCTCCCCAGCGATGCTGTGGGTGAAGCATTCCCGTCCCCATTTCGCCAAGGCGGAAGCTGGGCTCAGAGAGGCGTAAGCTGTTTTAGCTCCTGCACCCCTGCCTTTAGTAGCAACGAAGTTCCTGGACAGCCCCAGAGCAGGACCCACACTCCCTGGGGCCGGGCGGGACCCGTGGCTTTGCCGACAAGCCTCAGCTACCCGACACCACGGCTTCACTCACCTGCAGAAAGAGCTCTGCCCTGGTGCGGCAAAATCTCTCAACTCCCAGCAAACGTTCCACAGTTCCTGCATACTTCCAGCCACCCAGCCATTCATTCAACAGCTAGCAGCCATTAAGGCCAAACGCCACGTACCAGTTCAGTGACAGGCTTCCCCTGGACGCCAACAAAGAGCTCAAGTGGACACAGTGGTGTTATAAATTCACATGTTCAATATGAAAAGTAGCAGCTAGAGGTTTCCTATAAATATATGCTAGTTCAGATCCTTATGGTTTTTCTTCTTATTGAAGTATGGTTGACAGACAAACTTATGTTGGCTTCCACTGTACAACACAGGGGTTCAACCGTTACCCATGCTATGAAAACTTCACCCCCTCTGGTTCGGTTACTATCTATCAATGTAGGAAGCTGTTACAGAACCATTGACTAAATTCTCCATGCTATACTACCATCTCTGTGACCAACATCTATTATTTGTGTAACTCCTCCCATTCAATTCTCTACACATGCACATAGAAGGTATGCTCACGACACGTGGGTTTCATGTGACTGCTCACAATTCTCAGTTAAGGGTAAGGATCACATTTGGGTTTGTGTCAGTGTGTACATGCGCACTGTCTATATATACACATATTACTTATAATAAACCAGGTATCTCTACCTTTGAATATATGTGTGCACACAGTGTTAAATTAGCCAGTTGGAGGCCTGAGGACACCTACTCTGTGTGTTTGGGTGTGTTTGTATGTGTGTGTGTGGGGGTGTGTGTGTGTACTGAAAACATGCAAAAAATATTTTATTTTGCTGAATGAAGCTGTGATCTGGAGTAAAGGGATCAAACAATGCACAGAAATATTCATCTTCCAGTGTTGGCTAATGATTACCTCTAGGGGAGAATGAAGAAAGAATAAAAATGAATCATGTCCTGGACTAATCTGATGGCTCTCTAAGGTAATGAATGGAAATATTTCCTAAGTAGCAGCCTTGGGTCTGCATCACATTTAGGGTTATGTTAGGTTTGGTTGAAGGGGAGGGTGAGTACTTAGGATTAGTGACTGGGGTTATAGTTAGGGTTAGGTTGATGGTTACGTTTTGGATGTGGGTGTGGGTATGATTAGAGTTTAGCTTTCAACATTAGAGTTAGGGTTATGTTAAGTTTTAGGCTTACACTGATGCTTTGGTGTGGGGGAAGCTAAAGGTGTTGAGAGTTTTGGGTAGTCATGGGGTTAGGGTTAGGATTAGGTGTAAGGTAAGGCTGAGCTTGAAGTTCGGTTTTGGGATGGAGTGAGGTTTAGGATTCAGGCTGAGGGTTAGGGTTCGATTTAGGTTTAGGCTTACATTCCATGTAAGTGAGGTTGATGGAGAGGGGTAGGGTTAGGTGTCAGTTTAGGCTTAGGGTCGCTCTAGTGTAAGTAGCACTGTGAGGATACGGTTACAATAAGAGTTAGGATTAAGGTTCAATGTCAGTGTTTGCATTACATTTAGGGTTAGGCTGATGTGTTGTATGGGTGAATTTGAGGATGAGGTGTTAGGATTAGTGCTTAGGCTTAGGGTTAGGGTCAGGGTTAAGATGAAGTATACGGTGAGGAAATACATATGGTTAGAGTCAGTTTTAGACTATTTTTAGGGTTAGGCTATGATTTAGGATTAGTGTTATGGTTTGGTGTGGGTGAAGGTGAGGGTGTTAATGGGGGTTTAGAGGAAGGGGTACATTTTGGGTTTGGCTTAGGGTTAGGTGTTGGGTTCTGCTTAGGGTGTATTTAGGGTTGTGGTGTGGGCTAAGTATCGGGTTTAGGGTGACAGGCTTCAACTAAGGATTGGGATTACGTGTGTGTTTGTGAGTTTGTGCGTGTGGGTTATGGGACAGGCACAGGGTTTGTGTTATGGTTAGGTCCAGCTATAGTTGTAAGGTTGGATATGGTTAGGGTTTGATTTAGGATGATGATTCGCAGTTGGTATTTGGGTGATGTTGAAGTTTAGGATTGCATCAGGTGTGGTTGAAGGTGAGGGGGAGGTGCTAGGGTATGTGGCTATGTTAGGGTTAGGGTTAAGTTGAAGGATAAGTGTAGGGTGAGGATATGGTTATGGTTAGAGTTTGGGTTCAGCTTTATTCTTGGCGTTTGTGTTAGGTTTAGTTTCAGGGTTCCATAAGGAGAGGATGTGTGGATGGGGAAGTAGAGGTAGGAAAATGATCAGGGTTAGGGTGAGTTGTTGGGATAGGCTTCAGATGAATTCAGGGTAAGTGTTAGAGTTAAGTATGGGTTTTAGAGTGTGAGTAAGGGTACTATTTATGTTTAAGTTTATGGTTCCATGCGAGTGAGTTTGAGAGTGAGGGTTAGGCGATAGGAATAGTGTTAGGATTAGCACTAGGTCTAGGATTAGATGCAGGGTGAGGATATGAGTCCAGTCAGATTTAGGATCAGCGTACAAAGTTAGCCTTTGGATTGGCATGAGGTTTAGGGTCACGTTGGGTTTGGTTGATGGGGAGGGTGAGTGCTTAGCCTGAGTGACTATGCTTAGGCTGAGAGTTAGGTTGATGGCTATATTTTGGGTGCATGTGCAGCAATGATTAGAGTTAGGTTTCAGCTTTAGGATGAGGGTTAGGTTAGTTTAAGGATTACGTGGATGCTTTGGTGTGAGTGTTGAGGAGAGTTTTGGGTTGGGTTAGGGTAAAGGTTAGGTGTAGAGTAAGGCTTAGCTTGAATTTTGGTTTAGGATTAGAATGAGGCTTAGGATTCAGGTGGAGCATTAGGGTTCTATTTAGAGTTAGCTTTACGGTCCCATGTAAGAGACGTTGAGGGCTTGGTGTAGTGGTACATGTTGTGTTAAGCTTACAGTTAGGGCTAGTGTATGGAGTGCAATGAGGATACAGTTATGGTCAGTATTATGGTTCAAGGTTAGTGCTTGGTTTAGATTAGGTTTAGGAGGGAATCCAGCTGTAGTTCTGGGGATGGTTTTCATTCCAGGGAAGTGTCTTTGGATCTGACGTGCTGGAGAGTCTAGTCCTGCCATTCCTGCAGCAGTAAGTACCCCTGGGACCAGGAGGCTGGGGTGGGCAGGGATGGGAGGGGCCTCCCAAGCTCAGGACTGCTCCCTGCATCCTTAACATCCCATGCGGGGTCCATACCACAGAGAGACAGACTGTCCTTCTTGCTCCCCCAAAGGTATTACATGATCTGTGACTGTAGAGACTGACAAGGTCTCCTGGGAGCTTACCACATTAAGGCCTGCTTCTCCCTGGCCATTCCCCTCAGCTCCGTGGCCCCAACCCTATGAGTACCTCAGCTCATACTCTGCTCCTGGGATGAGAGGCTCCCCAGCATAGGAGGCCAGCTCCTGGGAACACCCATCTGGCCAGAGCACCAACCCTCTTCCTCTTTTTTCTCCTAGAAGCGCCTCGTGCGAGTATGCCAAGGACAGCAGGAATATAAAGGAGCTCAAGGACCCCTGTGCATGGGTGGTGGGCAAGACTGGCTTGGCCAGGGGGTGGGACAGGCCAGTCATGGGCCCAGGGTGTGGCTGCCCTCAATCTTGGCTTGCTTCTACTCCCCCACAGGTCTGAGGGTTCAGCTGCTGAAGCACACACAACGTGACGTTCTGTGATCCCTGTGAATGTTACCCAGAACTCAGCATGACCTCAGCTCCTTCGTGGTGGACACGTGGCTCCATATGGTGAGTGCCTGCCCCCTCCATGGGGCCAGCCCAGGGAGCCTCAGGTGGGTGGGAGGTTTAGGTGATGCTGAGCACCCAGGCACTTCCATTTCAGGAGACCATGCTCTGCTTCTCTGTCAAAGGGGTCTTCAAGGAAGGTGAGTGTGTGCATGCAGGAGCACTTCTGCGGATGCCCCATGCCCCCTCCCACTTACCAGGCTCCCTTCAGAGCTCTCCCAGCTTCCTTGTCCCCTTCCCTGTCCTTCCTATGTTCTCTGCCTTCACTCTGCCCCGAACCATCCTTGTCTGACCCGCATCCATAGCTGCCAGGCCCCCACAGTGCAGGCATCGGGGACAGAAGCTCTGGAGTTTGTTGGCTCTCGTCCTAGGTCTTCAGTCTGTGACATTAGGTCCAGTACCTAACCCCTCAGTTTTCTCATTTGCACAACTGGGCTTAGTGTACTCAACTCTTGGGCAGCTGTGAAAAGTGAATCAAATGAACTTGTGAAGTGGTTAGTCCCATTCAGCAGGAATATCAAGTCAGACCCTGACTGGGGAACTCTGTGAGAGCGTGGGAAGCCTGTGGGCCTCTAAGGGATTTTGTTGTTTGTTGCCTTTGAAGTGGAAGGAACATTTCAGGGCTCTGTACGTGCCTTCACCCGGGCCTTCATCACTACCCCTGCCAGTGGTTCCAGGTGAGTGCTCTGTTGTGGGTAGGAGCATGGGGGCACCCACCCCAGCATGGGCTCAGGGGTGTGGGAATGTGGTGGGGTAGTCCTCGTGGAAAGCCAACAGATAGATCCAAGGAGCCGTGTGGCCTCATGAGTGGTTAAGCACGTGGGCTCCAGAGTCAGAACACTCACTCCTCTTCCTGACTCTGACACTCACTAGGAGAGGGACTTTGGTTAAGTTGCATGACCCATCTGTGACTCAGTATCTTCCCTGGAAAGTGGGGACTAGACTGTCCACTCCCTTGGGCTGTTGTAGAGCATAAATACAGGTGTAGAATCGTCCCTGGGTTGCAGGTAGTGTACAAATCTAGAGCAGCTGGCAGACAGTCTCCCCAAAGATGGGCACTGTGGGAAGGGTAGAGGTACCAGTTAAGGCATCTGGGGGGTCAGGCACAGCAGGGATATGGAGGGAATCTGGCTGCTCAGTGGCAGCGGGAGCAGGATCGTTGTTGGAGATGTGTGCTTATTTGTCTGTTTGGTTGTCTGAGGGCCCATTTATCCTGCAGTCTGTGCATGTGAATGATGAGCTGCTGGTGAGGGATGCCAGGAGCATCAAGACTCAGAGCAGCACCCACACCCTGTTGCAGCTCCATGCAGCACCCACACCATGCGAGCAGCAGGAAATTCTGCAGACTTTCTCCACCCAGTCTGGGATGAACATCCAGTAGTCTCAGAAGTGAGTGCTGGGTGTGCACAGGGATATGAGGGAGATGCCAGAGAGGAGGGTTGAGTAATGAGAACTTGCAACTGATATGTTTTGCTTCTTTCTTGCACTCATTATCAGCGTGAACATTTCTGTGCCAGTCCTAAATCAAGTGTCCCGTGGTTTTGAGCAGGTGTGCATTACTTTTCTGAATTTCATGGACCTCATTCCTTTATTCACAGATGTTTGGCTTTCAGGAGTTTTTCCCTTGACACCTTGTGTCACAAGGGCTCATTCTGCTCTGTATGTTATGCCACAGTGAACGGGGAGGAGAAAACTTCATTATACCAAGACATACCACCCAAAGATTAGCCCTGAGTGTTTTCATCTGCTTTTCATCTTTCCAGAAGCATGTTTACACAGGGATGTGTATATTTATGTGTGCATACATATGTTTGTGTATTTATCTGCAAAATATAAGGTCCACCTTACATGACAGACAGAGAGAGACAGAGAGAGACAGAGGCTTGTGGCTCCATGGAGGTGAGAGGACCAAGGAGGGATGTTAAGAAATCTTCAATACCTTGAAAGTTGAACAAGTATAAAAGTTAATATGAGAGAGCCATCTTGGCTCAAATGTAGCCCTCCAAACTGTCCATATGTTCCTTTCCTTTCTTACCTGCTTATTTCTATTATAGACCTAATGAGACAGCAGGATAGCACAAGTTTTGAGCCCAAGATAATTATTTAGTTATTAGTGAATGAAAGAAGGGACAATTGCATGTCAAAGAAATGCCAGTAGTTTTTGGATGTTTGCCACTCAGGGAGACAGCAGGTAGCTGATGTCCTGATGTGATGGGGCTGGATAATGCACGTCCTAAGGAGCCCTGCACTAGTGACTTCAGGGAAGGTCCAGATTTTGCTATAAATACTACATATGTAGAAAAGGAGCATTACAAAAGCAGCAACTGGCAAACACCACACCTTCCTGAGCTCGTACCCTCTGTCCCTGAGCTCACCAACTGAGTCAAAGATAAGCCCGTCTTCCATGCATGGGGACCTGGGTTAGGGTCTGCTCAGAGGCGTGGTGTTGGACAGTGCTTATGAGCCTCTGAAACGCCCAAGAAAGTAGGGAAACTTGTGTCTTCAAAACTTTAACTCAAGGCACATGAGGGAGGTATTTGCTTCCTTTATAAACATATCTATGTTCTCATCAGAAAAAACAATGAGAACTGACTTTTCACAGGGCCTGCCTTAAACTTGAGGCTCAGCCAGGCCCCACTATTCCCCCTTTTGTCACATCTTTATCTCATTCTGCCCACAAAATGATAGGGCACTACAATTATCACTGATCCCAATGAAGCCTTAACTTATAATCAGCCCCTAAGAAGCTGTAGAGTCACTACTTGTCTTCACTGTGTTACACAGCCCTCCCTGTGCCTCTGCTACATTATACATGCTAATCATAATGCCTGCTTTCTTCCCCCCACCTGTTATTCCTCCCTTCCCACCCATCCTCCCCAGTCCCTTTCCCTTTGGTAACTGTTAGTCGATTCTTGGGGTCTGTGATTCTGCTGCTCTTTTGTTCCCTCCGTTTTTTATTTGATCTTATACTCCACATACGAGTGAAATCATTTAGTACTTGTCTCTCTCTGCCTGGCTTATTTCACTGAGCATAATACCCTCTAGCTCCATCCATGTTGTTGCAAGTGGTAAGATTTGTTTTCTTCTTATGGCTGAATAATATTCCATTGTGTATATGAACCACATCTTCTTTATCCATTCATCTGCTAATGGACACTTAGGTTGCTTCCATTTCTTGGCTATTGTAAATAGTGCAGCAATAAACATAGTGGTGCATCTGTCTTTTTCAAACTGGGCTGCTGTATTCTTAGGGTAAATTCCTAGTAGAGGCATTCCTGGGTCAAATAGTATTTCTATTTTGAGCTTTTTGAAGAACCTCAATACTGCTTTCCACAATGGTTTAACTAATTTACATTCCCACCAGCAGTGTAGGAGGGTTCCCCTTTCTCCAAAACCTCGCCAACATTTGTTGTTGTTTGTCTTTTGGATGGTGGCAATCCTTACTGGTGTGAGGTAATATCTCATTGTTTTTTAAATTTGCATTTCTCTTATGACTAGTGATGTGGAGCATCTTTTCATGTGTCTGTTTGCCATCTGAATATCTTCTTTGGAGAACTGTTTGTTCAGTTCCTCTGCCCATTTTTTTTTT